CTTCCTTACTTTAGCAAAGGAAAACCAGTCTCCTCTTGGCTTATATCGAAATCCTCTGACATTCTTCTTTACATATCCTAATTTTGTACTTCTAATACGTGGCCGTCATTGAGGGTGAGTGATTTATGGGCTAATTTTCATTTTTGGGTGAACGAACCCTTTAAACTTAATTTACATGAAAGGAAATGTCATTAACTCTTATTGTGGATTATAAATTGTGATACAGCATTTCTCCATCTTAGTGATAAAGGTGCTAAAAGTAGGATTCTCATTGCAATTATTGTCATTAGTGGAAAAACTGAGAATCACATGATGCATCATAAGTTGAGAATCACATGATGCATCAAACAAAGTTTGTTTATCAGCATATGGTCTCAGCGCTCATTAAGGGCCTTCACATCACTAATAACCAAAAGTAATAGTCTTCATAATTGCATTTTTAGGAATGCTCACCCTTGGAGCATAGTATGTGCAATTATGTATTTGTGATAGTGTGAAGTTAGTATGAAGACAGATGTGCTGGCCTAATGACTCCTACCTTAATGATTTAATTATGGAAGAAGCAGAGGGATAAAAGCTGTTTGCAGCTTAAGTGATGGAGGAAAACAACAACAACAGAGCTTCTGCCCTCTTGTGGGCATTGCTGCTTGCAAATCAAATCTGAGGTGATGCTGATATGTTTTCCACAGGGTCTTTTGAGATTCAGCCCAAACACAATTTGTAACTTGGAAAGCAAGGATTATAGACTAGGCCTGTGGTGGCATTTAACTCTCATGCAAATACGCTGAGTACTAAGCTGTAAATACAAATGCATATATAATATATATATATATATAAATACACACACATATGTGCAGTTGTAAGCATTTTTCAAAATAACAATTTTGCCAAAAGCAATAAGCAACCCTTAGAAAGTTCAGTCAAATCCTCTACAAAGATGCTCAGAGAATAGGCTGATGGAAGGGGAAGCATATGGTCAAACAAAGCACTTTCTAATGGCGTATTAAATATCCTGAGACAGGCTCTTGGGCGCTACACGTTCAAACCCTAAAAGCCGATAATGCATGAAGCTTCCTGTGCTCAGAGCCCTCTGGGAGAGGATGATGATGATGATGATGTTTTAGATCAATGATACACTCTATATCCCTCACCTCCTCCTCTCTCTGAAGCTTCACAAAGATGCTCTGTCATCATGAGTTTCTTCATTCATGTCCTGAATCGTCAACCTCAAATACACTTAATGATCTACAGATAGAATCAAATCAAGTAATGTCAACGAAGTGCCAAACTATTAAAAGTCATGACTCAAGACTTGTGCAAAGCCATGAAGCATTAGTTGCATATGTTAAATACTTGCGAAATCTCACCTGTCAGATTTGGCAACTCTCCTGAAGATTTGGTTTGATAAATCCTGGTGCGTCTGCGGTTCGGCTGATATTCCCTGCGCGCGGTGTGTCCGTGGTCCGATCTGCGCGCACGGTAAAACGGACTGACATTTGTGCAGCTTTCTCTTCAGCTCGTTAATATCGTCTTCTCGCTCCAGCAAACGTCTTTCCAGATCTCGTATCCTCTCCTCCTTCAGCATTAAAATCTTGGCAAAGTCTTCCTCTAGGTCACTCATTCTGAGGTAGTAAAACAACTTTAATCCCTTTAAAATCAACCAGGCGCGCTCTCAAACTGTATCCCGCGCCCAGACAAGCTCTGGTTGTGAAGCTCCAGTGTAAAACAGCTGATCTATCCACGTGTTTACAGTTGGAAACGAGAGTCGGCGTCGGTCCCGCTATCGGTCACTTCTGTACTAAACATCCCCGTGCAAAAGCACACACCATACTCGGCACAGACTGTCTCCTCATACACGGGGTCTTCAAAATAGGCGGAGTTTCACTTTT